GTGTAAACACAATAATGATTGTTAAAAATTTCCGGCGCTAACCGCTTACAGTTCCGGTGCAAGATGACATAATTGACAAGTAACACGTCATATAGACGAAATACCTCACAGACAGGACTCCAAATTAATTACCTCCGCCACCGAAGGAGGACGGAGATTATGTTTTCACTCTTGTATGTGTGTGTTTGTCAGAGGATTTCTAGAAAGCGGCAGGATGGAGCTGGACAAAAGTTGGTATACATTGGGACTATGACCCAACCTAGAAGTGATTAGTTTTTGGAGGGTCAAGACCAAAGGTCATGGTCACAAAAATCCAAAAAATATCTATCTGTTAACATGGGGACCGATTTTTCACACTATTTTTGCTCTATATCTCAGTCAAAAATGATCGGATTTTGATGGAACTCGGTGGACATATGTAGAATATTATTACACATAAAACGGCCAGTGTTCGTTGATAACGATGGACATACGGTCACATTTTGGTATTTTTTGAGGGCCGAATGTGATGAACACTGCGTGGCGGAGGTACATATTCTACTTAATGTTCCTCTAGTTCTTCCACGTACATATCTAATTTATTACCCAGACATTAATAATGTTATCATAAAACTCGCTTCATGCCGTTTACGGATCAATGGACTTTTAAAATACGGAATTTTTCTATATCATTTCTTAAGTTTCTGATCATGAAACGCGCTACATGCCGTTTACGGATCAATGGACTTTTAAAATACGGAATTTTTCTATAAGTTTCTGATCATGAAACGAGCGCCTTTCTGTCAATTTTTTTGGCGCAAAGTCTCGTCAGTCTGGTTCCTAAAACAGGTAGTTTATACATAGAACATGATGGCATAGGATAGAATTGAATCAGAACCGGATTTGAGAACGTTCCCGAGAGATAGAACTTTAAGAGATAAAACTGAGACAAAACAAAATTACCCATACCACGTTGAGTTCTATTTGATCTCGTATTTCACGTAGCACTTACGAGTCTGTGAAAGAAGTTCATGAGAGAAGACACCTTAATTTAGCAGCTTACGATAGAACGAACCTCGTACTTTGATCTAAATACTATATCCTTAGGGTCGGGCATGGCCTTTGGTTAGCGTGCCCAGACTGTGAATCTGAGTGCATATACATGTTAAAGATTTCTTTCTCATCAGAGGTGAATATGAGTGTTTGTGGATCGCATCCTCTTGCCACAAGAACACAATCCGCACTTTCGGGACGAAGTTGCGATATAAGAGTCACAGTCAAATCCCACTACTCTGTACGGCAAGAGTAGCCTATGAATATGAGTGTTTGTGGATCGCATCCTGTTGCCACAAGAACACAATCCGCACTTTGGGGACGAAGTTGTCATATAAGAGTAACAGTCAAATCCCACTATCCTGTGAGACAAGAGTAGCCTAAGAATTGATGATGGGTTCTGTTGACAACTTTCCTTACCTCTAGTCTATCATTTCAATATTAGGGACCGCTAATACGCAGACAAAGCTGGAGCTATGTGTCTTACAAAGGCACAGCAAGGATTTAACTTTTAACTTCTTGTGTAGCTTTTTGCGAAACTTCTAAGACTAACAATATCAATAGCGATTTATTTATATTTTGCTGATACAAATGAATGAAGGTGTTGTCATGTTATCATGAATGAAGTTGCTGTTAAGTTATACTATCATAAATGAAACTGTTGTTATGTTATCATGAATGAAGCTGTTGTTATGTTATCATGAATGAAGCTGCTGTTATGTTATCATGAATGAAGCTGCTGTTAAGTTATACTATCATAAATGAAGCTGTTGTTATGTTATCATGAATGAAGGTGCTGTTATGTTATCATGAATGAAGGTGCTGTCATGTTATGATGAATGAAGCTGCTGTTAAGTTATGTTATCATAAATTAAGCTGCTGTTAAGTTATGTTATCATGAATGAAGCTGCTGTTAAGTTATACTATCATAAATTAAGCTGTTGTTATGTTATCATGAATGAAGCTGCTGTTATGTTGTCATGAATGAAGGTGCTGTTATGTTATCATGAATGAAGGTGCTGTTATGTTATGATGAATGAAGCTGCTGTTAAGTTATGTTATCATGAATGAAGCTGCTGTTAAGTTATACTATCATAAATGAAGCTGTTGTTATGCTATGATGAATGAAGCTGCTGTTAAGTTATGTTATCATAAATTAAGCTGCTATTAAGTTATGTTATCATGAATGAAGGTGCTGTTATGTTATGATGAATGAAGCTGCTTTTAAGTTATGTTATCATAAAAACAGCAGCTTCATTTATGATAACGTAACTTAACAGCAGCTTCATTTATGATAACATAACTTAAAAGCAGCTTCACAGCTTCATTCATGATAACATAACAGCAGCTTCATTCATGATAACGTAACTTATGTTATGTTATCATGAATGAAGCTGATGTTATGTTATCATGAATGAAGCTGCTGTTAAGTTATGTTATCATGAATGAAGCTGCTATTAACTCATCAATTAATAGTGATAAGCTTCAGCCTCTACATGTGTAGAGGCTGAAGCTTATCACTATTAATATCCTCAGCATATCCTATTAATATCACTATTAATATCAATATCCTCAGCATAGCATTCATTTTCGGTTTAAAATCAATATAAAATTAGAACGCTTATGAAGAGAAACCCAATTACCCGGAAAGTTGACTTTATTTCATCAGGGATAAACGGCTTGAATTATGAATAGAAACAAATGCGGAAGTTTAAAACCATTAGAACATTATTTTGATACTTTAAGCAGCGAGATAAAGCCGAAGAGCAACTAAACCTAGCATTTATACAAGCTAATCCACAATTCTTGACTTACAGAAGTATATATAAACGCTCTATTCTATATCTATTTTCCAACACTTAGAGAAATCCAGGTGACTTTTGTTACGATAAATAGCTAAAAGTCAAAATGTAATATCGCGAAATTAATTGTTCGGGTTAAGCGGATTACTATGTGTGACTGACCCAAAAGTTGTGCTGAACAGACTATAGTCATATGATGTATACAAGTTGTATCTTTAACACTTTCACTATGGAAAAAAACTCGCCCGTAATATGATGTATATCAGCTGTATATTTACCACTTTCCCTATAGAAGAAAACTCGTCTGTAATATGATGTATATCAGCTGTATCTTTACCATTTTCACTATAGAAGAAAACTCGCCTGTAATATGATGTATATCAGCTGTATCTTTACCACTTTCACTATGGAAGAAAACTCGCCTGTAATATGATGTAGATCAGCTGTATCTTTACCACTTTCAATATGGAAGAAAACTCGCCTGTAATATGATGTATATCAGCTATATCCTTAACACTTTCCCTATAGAAGAAAACTCGTCTGTAATATGATGTATATCAGCTGTATCTTTACCACTTTCACTATGGAAGAAAACTCGCCTGTAATATGATCTATATCAGCTGTATCTTTACCACTTTCACTATGGAAGAAAACTCGCCTGTAATATGATGTATATCAGCTGTATCTTTACCATTTTCACTATAGAAGAAAACTCGCCTGTAATATGTTGTATATCAGCTGTATCTTTAACAGTTTCACTATAGAAGAAAACTCGCCTGTAATATGGTGTATATCAGCTGTATTTTTACCACTTTCACTATAGAAGAAACCTCGTCTGTAATATGATGTATATCAGCTGTATCTTTACCACTTTCAATATGGAAGAAAACTCGCCTGTAATATGTTGTATATCAGCTGTATCTTTACCACTTTCACTATGGAAGAAAACTCGCCTGTAATATGATGTATATCAGCTGTATCTTTACCATTTTCACTATAGAAGAAAACTCGCCTATAATATTATGTATATCAGCTGTATCTTTACCATTTTCCCTATGGAAGAAAACTCGCCTGTAATATGATGTATATCAGCTGTATCCTTAACATTTTTCCTTTCGAAGAAAACTCGCCTGTAATATGATGTATATCAGCTGTATCTTTAACACTTTCACTATAGAAGAAAACTCGTCTGTAATATGATGTATATCAGCTGTATCTTTACCACTTTCACTATCGAAGAAAATTTTCTTCTACATAGGCCATTGTGGTAATTTAATGGCCAACACTTCACTAATCTTCGAAAACTTTAGTTAGAAAGCTCACCTTTACCTGGAGTAAAAAAAACGACTGAAGCTAGTGTTTGGTTCCTCAATACAAGACGAAATAATTTTGTGATGGGGCTTTTTTTCAAGTCAATTGAAAAAAAAACGTTTGATCTCATGTTATCCAAAAACAAACAACTGCTTGGTATATGAGCTTTAATTTATCTTAATAGGTTTTAAAGATGCACCAAACCCACGTAAGAAAAAACTTACAATCAAAATTGCGTCATACATACACGGCTTATCAGAGAGGAACAGCCGAGAGAGAGAGTATTGCAAACCGTGGCAGCGCCAAATAGTGAGTTTCCTTTCAGCCTAGAAGAGGAAAAATCAGCACTTATATAGTTCCACACGAGATAGGTTGAATATCCGACTGCTTAATTACATTAAATAGATATTTCTCGGACGACTGGCAAAGATCTTATTGTCACGCTGTTCTCCAGTCTCCCTTCGCATAAGAAACAGCTAACTGGAGAACAAATAAGATCACTAGCCCTTTTCTAAAAGAAAAATAGAATATCAGACTCGACGCGTCTCGGCAAGTTTCATAACGTGAACTACAAAAGGCGGGTGTTTACAATTTGCAGTAATTGTTGCAGCATAGAGGAACAATCGTGTCGTCATTCCATCATTGCTGGGGTACTTTAATATCTGGACATGCCTTCAATAGATCGCTAATTTGATCAGGCTTCCCGTAATAAGCGTTTCCAATTTGGTTGAGTGGCTGTTGGCGGGGCACGAGTTAGGGCTGGAGCTAGCTATCGCGGAGTAGAGTTATTCTCGTGGAAAACGGTAGTAAAAGTTAATTAAAAACGGAATGAGAAAAAAAATGGAATTGGCAAACCTTCTAAAACCTTGTTCCGGGAGAGTATGGTCAGTAGAACGTCTGAATTCGTCGTGGTAGTGTCGGTGACTGCAGCCGCACGGACCATGGTGGACATGCCGGCCACTGCCCGTCCTTTCACCGCAAATGTGCGCAGATGTCGTCGTGCCGGTAAAGTTGAAGGTATTTTGTCCCCGGAACCGAGTCACTTCCGTGGTTTAATTTGGCTAAGTGCTCCACTATCTCTTGCAAGGAAAGCCAAGTGTGTCACCAGTTGCCTGACAGGCCGTTCTTCACTGCCTGGTCAACTTCGAGCACGTGATCCGCCATCGCGCTTACTTATGCAGACAATCAGGCTTAGCGCTCCACCCCTGTGCAGCGAGATCCAGTCAGCACCAGAGGGAGAGAGAAGCGGGCGGAGACCATGGCGGTCGGTCTCTTGGCGGAACTCTAAATTTTGAAAGATACACCTTCCTTGATGTGAACTTGGTAAAATATATATGTGTATACACAAAGAAGTTATACTGGACAACAAGAAAACCCGGTAAATTATTCATGTGTATACACAAACAGCTTCTACTCAAGTAGACGAAAACCCGGTAAGATCAATGTTTATACACATGAAACTAGCTAGTCATGTAGACGAAAACCGGTAAATCTTCATGTGTATAAACATTCTAGTCAAGTAGACGAAAACCCGGTAAACACTACTTCTGGAGAACAGAAGAATTTTAAGTGTTCTACAGTCGTTATAATAGTTATTAAATATTAAACAATTGAAGGTATAAACGTAAAAATTAGCATAAAATCTTTTTCACCTAACTATTGGTTCAAATTCTATACTATATATTTAAGTCAATAGTTCGTGTCTTGTTGCCATAAAAAACAAAATCACGCTCAACATTTTGGAGACGTGGTTATGTTATAAGAGTAAGGGTCAAATCCCACTATTCGATTACAGTAACCCAAGAGATAGCTGGTGACCATAGCTGTCTTCCTTCTAGTCTATCAGCTTAACATTAGGGATGGCTAACGCAGATAAGCCCTTGTGTAGTTTTGCGCTAATATCTGAAACAAACTGCCCGTTCATCCATCCATCCGTCTGTCGTTTTACATCTTAAGTGCAAGAATACAAAACAAAAAACAGTAACTAAGTCGTAAAGGTCATTACCCTCTGGATTTGTTGATGCTACGTAATGAACTTCGTCACAAAGATTTAGTTTAACAACAGCACATCTGCATGTGTGAATGTTGAAACTGACCTTCACTGTTTTGAAGTCATATCTGTATAATTACTGAACGTAATGACTCTTTTTTAAAACACATACCTTCGGTGGAACATCGATAAGTCTACGGACTTTTATCTCTATACTCCGGGATTCGATTAAACGTGGTGAATAGAGCAGATAGTCCTAAAAATATATAAATCACAATTGTTAATAATTTACTATGGTGACCCGAACAAATGCAGTAACAAAGTACCTGATGATGACAAAACCTTGTCGAAACGTTGTACATTTGCTGTTATATTAAAGATTTTCTTCATTACCCAT